GTTGCATTACTAGTCATAATTGGAAACGTAAACATAGGAAAAGCCTTAATCGATCTTGGTTCAAGCATCAATCTCATTCCTCTCTCAGTCATACGAAGAATTGGTGATTTGGATATGAAGAATACAAGGATGAATTTTCAACTGGCCGACAAAGCAGTCATAAATCCAACCAGTATAGCCAAATATGTGCTAGTCAAGGTAGACAAATTCCTCTTTCCTATTTATTTAGTTGTTATGGATATAGAGGAATATGATGATGTACCATTGATCTTGTGGCGTCCCTTCATGAAAACCGCATGCATGATGATTGATATTGACGACAGTTTGATCAAAGTATGTGTTCAAGATAAAGAAGTCAGCTTCAACCTCTTTGACGCAATGAAACATTCCAAGGACAATGTATCTTATTTTAGAGTTGATACAATGGATGAGGAAATTATGAAAATACAAAAACAAGCACACTTGGCAGCACCATTAGAAAGAGCCCTCATGGATGTCTTTGAAGTTCTTGATCCGGAGTAAGAAAAAGAACTCAAACAACACTTAGCAGATCTAGATTCAGCAAAAGAGATACCGTTGAAATAAGGAAATATTAAGGAATTGAAAGAAGAGTCCATGGAGAAAGGCACCAAATTGGAATTGAAGTTATTACCGGATCACTTGAAATATGTGTTCCTCAATGAAGAATGCACGAAACCAGTGATAATTAATAAGTTTCTGACTAGCCACGATGAAAAGAAGCTCATTCAAGTTCTTAATAGAAATAAAAACGCAATAGGTTGGGTATTGTCAGATATGAAGGGAATCAGTCCATCGTATTGTATGCACAACATCATGATGGAAGAGAATTTCAAACCAATTTCCCAACCACAGCGGCGTTTGAATCTAACAATGAAAGAAGTTGTACAAAAAGAGGTCGTCAAGCTATTAGAGGCAGGTATGATTTATCCAATTTCAGATAGTGCTTGGGTAAGTCCTGTGCAGGTAGTACCAAAGAAAGGTGGTATGACCGTGATAACAAACGAGAAAAATGAGTTAATTCCAACCCGGACTGTCACCAAATGGTGGATGTGCATTGATTATCGAAGACTTAATCAAGTAACAAGGAAAGACCATTTATCGCTTTTGTTCATGGATCAAATGTTAGAAAGTTTATCTGGGAAGTAATTCTATTATTTCTTAGATGGATATTCTGGATACAACCAAATCACCGGAAATCCTGAAGATCATGAGAAAATATCCTTCACTTATCCATTCGGCATACTCGCATACCGAAGAATGCCTTTCGATTTATGCAACACACCCGCAATATTTCAAAGATGTATGCAGGCCATTTTTTCAGATTTGATTGAAAAATGCATCGAAGTATTCATGGATGACTTCTCCATGTTTAGATAATCGTTTGAATTATGCTTGGATAACTTACACGCCGTATTGAAATGGTGTGTGGAGACGAATCTTGTATTAAATTGGGAAAAGTGCAATTTCATAGTGACTGAAGGCATTGTTCTTGGGCATAAGATTTCACCAAAGGAATTGATGTGGATAAAGCTAAGGTTGGTGTCATTAAAAAACTGCCACCACCAACCAATGTTAAGGGGATCTGAAGCTTCCTTGGCCATGTCGGGTTTTATTGGAATTTCATCAAGGATTTCTCAAAGATCGCAAAGCCATTAAGCAATCTCCTAAACAAATATAGGTGTTTATTTTTGATAAATATTGTTCAATTGCTTTTGAAAGTCTAAAACAAAATTGAGTACTGCACATGTAATCACTGCACCCAATTGGAAAAGTAACTTTGAACTCATGTGCGATGCAAGTGATTACATGGTTGGGGCTGTTTTAGGACAGAGAAAAACCAAAAAAATTCATGCTAAACACTATGCAAGCAAAGTGCTAAACGATGCACAAGTTAACTATGCAACCATAGAAAAAGAATTAGTTGCTATAGTGTACGCATTAGACAAGTTTCGATATTATCTCATAGGGTCCAAGATTATTTGTTATATTGACCATGCAGCAATCAAGTACTTGATTAATAAGGCGGATTAAAAACCAAGGATAATCCAATGGATGCTTCTCTTGCAAGAATTTGATTTAGAGATTCACGACAAGAAAGGAACCGAAAATCTGGTTGTGGATCATCTATCAAGGTTGGTAAATCTTGAAATAAAAAAGGAAGAAAGAGAAGTCCTTGAAGAATTTCCTAATGAAAAGCTGCTCATGATTGAGGAAACCCCATGGTTTGCAGATCTTGCAAATTACAAGGCATCCAGACTTTTTCCCGAAGATCTCAATTGGCAACAAAAGAAGAAATTCTTACATGATGCCACTCATTACGTATGGGATGATCCATATTTGTTTAAAATCGGAGCCGATGGATTATTGAGAAGGTGTGTTACTAGAGAGGAAGCAATAAGCATCACATAACATTGCCATAATTCACCATATGTTGGTCACTATAGCGGGGAACGAACAACCGCCAAAGTATTACAAGCAGGATATTATTGGCCTACTATATTCAAGGATACTTATGAGCATGCCAAGAATTCTGATAATTGTCAAAGGGCTGGTGGAATTTCTAAGAGGAATGAAATGTTGTTACAAAGCATGCTCTAAGTAGAAGTATTCAATTGTTGGGGGATCGATTTTGTTGGACCATTTTCGTCTTCTTTTAGCAATGAATATATCTTGGTAATAGTTGATTACGTATCCAGGTGGGTGGAGGATATAAAATCACCCAAAGCGGATAGCAAAACGGTGGTGAAACTTTTAAAACGAAACATCTTCACAAGGTTTGGAACACCAAGGATATTGATTAGTGATGGAGGCTCCCACTTTTTTGTCGCACAACTTACGAGATATCTTGAACATTATGGTGTCAAGCACAAGGTAGCATCACCATATCATCTGCAAACAAATGGACAAGTGAAAGTATATAATCGTGAGGTAAAGAGAATCTTGAAAAAAATAGTTTCAACCTCACGAAAAGATTGGCCATTAAAGCTTGATGAAGCTCTTTGGGCATATCGTACCGCATACACATCAATAGGCCTTACTTCATTTCAAGTGGTATATGGTAAAGCTTTCCATTTACCGGTTGAATTAGAACACAAAGCCCTTTGGGCTTTAAAATCGCTCAATTTTGATTCACAATAAGCCGGTGCGAAAATAAAGCTACGAATACATGAGCTTGATGAACTAAGGATGCAAGCTTATGAATCTTCAAAGTTATACAAGGGAAGATTTAAGAAATACCATGACTTCAGAATCCTTCCCAAAGACTTCAAAGTGTGGAAAATGGTTCTGATTTTCAATTTGCGGTTAAGATTGTTTCCCAGAAAGCTTAAATCAAAGTGGTCCAGACCATTCCAAATAAAAGATGTTAAGCGTTATGGAGGTATTGAACTAGAAGGTCCAAACACCAATGCAACTTGGACGGTAATGTCCAAAGATTTAAGTTCTACTTAGGTGGTGAGGTTGGTCGAGTCACCACCACAATTCCGTTGCACGAACCATAGAAGTGCTAAAGCATCAAGCTAATGACGTTAAACAAGCGCTCTTCGGGAGGCAACCTGACTATGTAACTATTTTATTGTTTTTATGATAAGTGACATTAAAGGTTCTTGGCATAGTTCGCTAAGCAAACATTAGTTCGCGATGCAAATGTCTAAGCCCAGAAAGTTTGCTAAGCGAACTTTACTCGCGAAGCGAACTTGCGGTGGTCAAACATATCTTTATGACCATTAAAAGCACCACATACTCACCTACCACACCTTTATGTCACGGTTATAGCATGTTCTTTTACTGTTTTTTCTCTTTCTCTAATCCTAAAAAACTCTTCACTTATCTCACTTTTCAAATCACACTTTCACTCTCTCACTTTACTCACTTTTGCATACTACCCTAATCTCTTATTCATCTCCATTTTTTTTGCAGCAAGCAACATGTATGTAATATCTCTAGCCTATTATCATTTTCATCTTGTATTTGCTATGGCTTCATTCTTACTTTCAAAATTCCAGATCTGTCACTTATACATGCTTTTAATATTTCTACTGAGATTCTAATGTTTAGATTGATGGATATCCATGGTTGAAACTTTCATATTATTTAGCACATGCTTTTTAAGATATGCTTGTTGATATGCTCTTTGATAATTATGATATGCACATAAACTGAAACATATTGCATGAACAAAATATCAGCATCAATGTTTGGCTCAACAAAAAAAAGGAAAATAACCAGGAAACATTAGTCTGTCAAAAATTATTTTTCAAAAATCACAGAATTTGTTATTCGAACTTTAGCTTGCTAAGAGAACATTTCCTGATGCAGAAAAATCAATGTCTTAATAGACCAGTTTTCTGGTATCTTTTGTTGCAGGAATGGCTCCAAAAAGATATGTGGCTTCAAAGAAATAGAAGACCTCAGGGGTTATAAATTCAAGGGGACAACAACCCTTTGATCAGACAAAATTCATCGGACCCGAACAAGAGGATATGTATCAAGAACTTTTGGGAAGATTCATCTAGTATGAAAGAATCTTTGAGATCAATCCTGAAGGAACCTGCAAGTCCTTACCTACTATGTGGACCAGCCCCAAATGGGATATGCTTGTGAATCCTTACCTAAAAATCAACACTAAGGTACTTAAGGAATTCTATACCAACGCATTTCCCTCGGAAGGCACTGCTTTCTCTTTCTCAACCAAAGTTGGGGGATGAACGATTCAATTTCAAAGGGATGCTATTAATGAATTTTTGGGAACTCCTAGCTTGCAAGAAGGGCAGGTATGTCGTTATCAAGAATCCATTAATAAGATGCCCAATGAAGCGACAATCTCTAAGAAAATTATTTTGGAAGGTAGGGAAGTGGAAAGAAATCCATCTGGTACATCAGTTAGATATCATAGGGAGGATTTAATCCCATAAGCTCAAGTTCTTCTCTTGATCATTCTGCACAATATCCAACCAAGAAGCCACACTTCCACCTTCACAATGGATACGACTCAGCGTCTGTATTTGCTCATGTCAGGTAGGCGAGTTGATAATGGTCAAATCGTTGCTACCAAAATGAAAAATGTTGCAGAAAGGGGTAAGGAGTTTAGGGATGGAACCAGAAGCACTCATCCGCTTGTTTATCTCGGTCTCATCATGGGATTGCTATTGCTTCTCGAGTAAAGATTCCTAATGTATTACACGGTGTAATCAAAACCAAGGTTATAGACAAGTACGTGGAGAGGTATTTATTGAAAACAAAAATAAAAAAGGGAAAGAAGCCCAAACGGGGAAGACTTCATCCACTCTTAACTATGCTGATTGCGATCTGAGACTTCGCCAAAATTTCACCTATACTTGGGATCAAAAAAATTCCAATCATAGAGTTGCTCTTTCTTTGCATGATTTTTTTATAGGTTGCACATTCAGCCAGGAGGGCAGCCCGATGAAAGCCATCATTTCATGACTCCGGGGGAATTTCATACGCATATTGTATGGCCTGGGGACAAGCCATTTTATCAGAGGGAGGCAGTTGGCTATGAAAACGAGAATGATGATGAGCAACATACTGAAGCAGAAGAAGAAGTAGAGGCTGAAGCGGGAGATGAAGAAGGAACTTCTGGTAGTTCTAAGGCGGCATCTGAAGCCGGTGATGATGATGATGAGTTCATGGGAGGAGAGTAAAGGAAGAGGAGAAAATTCTAAAATCTCGACACTTAAACTGAGTGATATTTTAAAAGCTTTCAGCATAGTTTATTTTGATTTTAGTTCAATTTTTAATATTCTGTTTAGAATTTCGGTTCAATTTTTTTTGTTGTAAACCTTTTGACGGTATTAATACCTTAACATCACTTTGTACTTGGTTATTTTAACGTTTGGTACACTGCGTTTATGTTGAAAAACATGCTGCATATTTGTGCTTGCAATACACTTACTCTCCTCATGAAGGTCTGAAAAGTGTTCAAAGAGAAGAAAAAAAATTATGTTTTCAACAAATTCAACAAAACATGAGTGGTAATGATAAACTTTGGACAAATTGCATAAGACAAAGGTACATGTTTTAAAATATTTGTAGAATGATAGCATGATTTTGAAATAATGGTTTGTGCAAAATCATTTCATGCTTCAATTTTACAAATACATATTATCTTGCTTGAATCATATAACCGATAAAAAAGAAAAGTGAGAAGCCTTCCATTATGCACAAAAAGAAATGAGTATGAATAACTTTGATTGAAACTCGGTTGATTCATGTGGAATCTAGTGATTACCTTGTGAACTTTTTGTAGCATCAAATCAATGCTATTACATTTGAGAAAAAACCAATTGATCAAAGAGCCTTAACATAAACCAGTGAGTTGAGTGAACACTTGAAAAACCAATCCAAATCCAAGAAAACCACTTGAAACAAAACAAAAACCAGCCTGCTGGAAATTTAAGAATGAACCAAAAGAGTACTTGAAAAAAATCACAAGCTCATGAAAATTTGGTTTCAAAGAAAAACAAAAAGAGTACTTGAACCAAAAGAGTACTTGAACAAAGTCATAAGCTCATGAAAAATTGGTTTCAAAGAAAAACAAAAAGAAAAACAAATGCTTGAAAAAGAAAGAAAGAAAAAGATAAAGTTGGGGAGAGACTATACATCACAAAAGAAATAAAGAAAGAATGAAAAAGAAACACATAGTCTCTCCAAATGCTTAAAACCAAAGAGAGAAGGAGAAGTCAAAAAGAGAATGGTTGACAAATCCAAAATATCATTAGCCTTAGGAATAAAAACTTATAAAACAACCAAAATAGCCTTGAAAAACTTATGCTTACAAAGAGAATCAAAAAGGAAATAATCAAGATGGAAACATGAATCAATCAAGATGTTGACAAAGTTGTTCATGAGAGTTCAATTTACCTACCACCATAAAATTGCTCCAAAAAGAAATCTTTATCATCTTTATGAAGAATGAGTGATAGGATGATTCAAAGAGAATAGATATGGTTTGTTTTATTGATTGCATAAAATGATCTTTGAATAGAAACATTATTGCATAATCATGCTTTGATTATATCAAAGTGAAAGAAAAACAAAAAACCATTTGCAAAGAGCATATTCCATTTGAACCATTTCATCTCAAATAATTAACTGAAAACAGAACATTGTGATTAAAAAGGAAATTTTTTTATCTTGATTGAGGACAAACAAGAAATCAAGTTGGGGAGAATTTGATAAATGCCAAAGATGCTAAAAAGTCACTCATAAAAAAGAGCACTTATCGAATTCACAAAGCACTTATTCATAGAATTATGCACACTCTGGCAAGAAATCAAATACATCTACTAATTTGTGTTTGATTATGCAAGAAATGATCAAAATATGAAAGACAAGGCAAAAACCCATGTCCTGTTTCGCTACAGCGAGCTTGCAACAAAGACAGGTTCGCTAAGTGAACTGTGTTCGCGAAGTAAACTCAACCCAGAAAACAAAGAGCCAAAGATCTTGTAGCAAAGAGAAGCGAAAGCCTGATTCACTAAGCGATCACTATTTCTCTTAGCGAATTCAAGATGGTAGCAAACAAGCCCAATTTTCTAGAAGCGAGAAGTAGCGAGAAAGTTTGCTTCACGAAGAAGACGTTCGCGTAACGAACTATTGGAAGTCTCCTGAAGGCGGTTTAAAATTCAAAACTTAATTCATAAGAAATAAGGACTTCTCTTAGTGAACTTCACCTCGTTAAGCAAACTCAGGCGGCTAGGTCTAGTATAAAAGCAGACCAAGGGCGGTGCAGAAGAACATCAGTTTTAGTTTTATAACATAGTCTGTAATAGTTGATAGATTTAATCCAGAAAGTTGTAATAGACACTTAAGGGAGGGAATCAAAGAATCGAGTTGGATACACATCAACTAACGAGGAATCTTCATTGATGCTCATTCATCCAAACTCTTCCTTTTTGTACAAGCTACCATGAAAATGGCCAACTAAAATCCCTCTCTTGCTAGGGATTGGATTACTCTATCAAAAACGTATGTATGTTTACCGATTATACTTTTAATATAAGAATTTTGTTATGATTATCGATTCTATCTTGTTTTCTTTACTTAAATCTTATGAATTTAAATGTTAATGAAAATTGCACTTGAAATCATGAACAAAAGATATTGAATCACTTAAACACTAATTGCTAGATATAGAAATTAGGTTTAAGATCCATTTGAATACTTAAGATTAATTACCATCGGTGTGATTAATTGGTCGAGACATCATCAATTAAGCGAACCGAGGGAAATCTTGAAACTTCATGTAGACATACATGCTATTTTTGAATAGTATTTTGAGTTAAGAATAAAAACATGGTCACTGATGTTATGCAGAATTAATCAGTAAATTGAATACGTAAACGGTAGAGGAAACCCAATCCCTGCAAGATCATTCATTATCTTAAACTTTCATATACGTTATTTCGTTTAAATTACATTTCGTTACTTTTATCAAATCAATCTTTCAAGAAACCTTAACTTAAGAAGATAAATAATCTAATTGCTTGTAATATCACTCCAGTCTTTATGGATACGATAACAAAATACTTTCTTTTGATTTACTCAACATCACTTGTTTTTTAAGCAAGATTGATTTGAGGTCGGGTTATCATCAGATTCGTGTTAAACCAGATGATATTCCGAAGACACCTTTTTGAAAGAGGTATGGTCATTACGAGTACATTGTGATGTCATTTGGTGTATCTAATGCACCAGGTGTTTTCATGGAGTATATGAATCGAGAATTTCATTTGTATTTGGATAAGTTTGTTATGGTCTTCATTAATGATATTCTGATCTATTCAAAATCAGAAGAAGAACATGCTGAACATTTGCGAATTGTGTTGCAAGTGTTAAATGAGAAGAGGTTGTATGAAAAGCTGTCGAAGTGTGAGTTTTGGTTGAAGGGAGTCAGTTTTCTTGGCCTTGTGATTTCTAGTGGTGGAATTATTATGTATCCTTCTAAAGTTGATGCAGTGTTGCAATGGGAGACTCTAAAGTCTGTGACTGAGATTCAAATTTTTCTCGGTTTAGCACGTTATTATTGAAGGTTCATTGACGGATTTTCTAATTTGGCATGATTGTTAAATTAGTTGACTCGAAAGGGTCAAGCTTATGGTTGGGATGTTGCATGTGAAGAAAGCTTCATAGAATTGAAGAAGAAATTGACGATCGCTCCTGTATTGGTATTGCCTAACCCAAGTGAGTCTTTTGTGGTGTATTGTGATGCATCAAAGATGGGTCTTGGTGGTGTGATAATGCAAAATGGACAGGTTGTTGCTTATGCTTCTAGTAAACTGAAGGTTCATGAAAGGAATCATTCTACGAATGATTTAGAGCTAGCAGTTGTGGTGTTTGTGTTGAAGATTTGGAGACATTATCTTTTGGCTCTAAATTTGAAATATTTGGCGATCATAAGAGTCTGAAGTACTTGTTTGATCAGAAGGGATTAAATATGAGACAGAGAAGGCAACTTGAATTGTTAAAATATTATAACTTTTATTTGAGTTACCATCCTAGTAAAGAAAAATGTGGTTGATGATGCATTGAGTAGAAAGTCATTACATATGTAGATGCTTATGATTCGAGAGTTAGAAATGATCGAACAATTCAGAGATATAAGTTTGGTGTGTGAAGAGACTCCTGATAGTGTAAAGTTAGGAATGTTGAAACTGACTAGTGGATTTATAGAAGAAATCTGAGAAGGTCAGAAGTTTGATTTGAATTTGGTGGATCAATTGACCTTGATTAACCAAGGTAATATAGGTGAATTCAGAATTGACGAGAATGGAGTAATGAGGTTTGGTGATAGAGTTTGTGTTCCAGATGTTCCAAAACTTAAGAAGAGTATTATTGAGGAAGGACATGAAAGTGGGTTAAGTATTTTTCCCGGTGCTACAAAAATGTATCAAGACTTGAAGAAATTGTTTTGGTGGCCTGGTATGAATGAAGAAGTTTCCAAATTTTTTTATGTTTATTTGACTTGTCAAAAATCAAGGATTCATCATCAGAAGCCTTTGGGTCTAATGCAACCGTTGAACATTCCGCAATGGAAATGGGATAGTATTTCTATGGATTTTGTGACGGGTTTACTGAAGACTGCTAAGGGTAATAAATCTATTTGGGTGATCGTGGATAGGTTAACTAAGTCGGCTCATTTCTTACCGATGAAAATCAATCATCTTATGGAGAAAGTAGTTGAGATGTATATTGAAGAGATTGTGAGATTGCATAGGATACCTTCGAGTATCGTATCGGATAGAGATCTGAGGTTTACGTCGAAGTTCTGGGAAGGTTTGCAGAATGCTTTTGGTACTAAGTTAAGGTTGAGTTCCGCATATCATCCACAGACGAACGATCAAACAGAGATGACTATTCAGTCTTCGGAGGATTTTCTAAGGGCTTGCGTGTTGGATCAAGGAGGTGCTTGGGACACCCACTTGCCACTGATTGAGTTTACATACAACAATAATTTTCATGCGAGTATTGGTATGTAACCGTATGAAGCATTGTATGGTAGGAGATATAAAACTCCATTGTGTTGGTATGAGTCAGGCGAGAGTGTTGTGCTCAGACCTGAGATTGTACAGGAGACGACTGAAAAGATTATGATGATTCAAGAGAGGATGAAAGCTTCTCATAGTCTTAAGATGAGTTATCA